AACTTTTTACGATTATAATAAGTGTAAGTTTTCTTTCCGATTTTGTACGTATACTTTAAATATTCTGTTTGTATCTACACTTTGTTTTACAAGCATATAATCTACATACTTTCGTATTCTTCTACCTCCCCCTCCAGATAATGTAAAGGTTACTTAAAAAAGTTTATTATTTGAAATATAAATTTCTTGCATCCTGCACTTCCCCAATATTTTTCCCAAGTTGGCGCCGCTGATGATCATGTTATAGAAAGCGAGTATATACATACAATATTTGTGCATACCTACCCTAATAGAAATATTTTACTGAAAATATAATAAAATTTTACTGAAACGTATTTGAAATTCTCTTTTAGTTGACTCCATTTCATTATTATTCTATTAAAATTTCAGTAAAAATTCAGTTTTTAGTTCAATTTAGTAAATTTCATGATATCTAATATTTATTAGTTATTACTTTTCAATAGTATAATTCCTTATATTTTACAGTATTACATTACATATTTTACAAAGAAAATTGTGATTTATTTTGAAATATATTCAGTATAACTTTTAATAACTTTTATTTTATTTTTCATCGATTTCATAGTTGTTCGCGCGCATGGAAAAGGACAGGCAAATGGATGAGAGACTATTCACACCAAAACGTGTTGCGGTCGGAAGAGTTGACATAGATTCTGCGACACCGGCTGCAAACCGACTCTCATGTGTTTCGCGCATTGAGATGTAAGTATAGAGTGGGAACTGCGATGCTACGCCCGTAGGCAGAAAACGAGCCTGAGACAGATATTGTGGGATCCCTCTCTTTCTCTGTTGTATAAGACGTATGCGCATGTTGCTAAGAGAAAGATATAATTATCTTTGTCATACGAACGGCATGACAAATAAGACAGCGATCCCTTACCTCTCGACACTTTACCTCTCTCTCGGTACGCGCCATCGCGCCAGTGCTCTCCAGTGCTCTCTCTATACTTATATCTCAGTAGTTTCGCATTGTCGCTCTTGTTTTTGCAGACCATTGCCAGAATCAGCTGGTTCTGCACGTCGAGGTCGAGTGTGCTGCTGTTGGTCTGGCCATTTGCCATTTGCTATTTGCTATTAGTTTAATTGTCAAGAATGAATCTGTTATCATTGATTCTTCGGCAATCGTGCAGGACCTCTATGCAGAACCAGCCGATTCTAGCAATGTCCTGCGAAGACAAGAGTGAAAACGCGAAACGCATAAAAGTTGCGGTCTGCAGCCTACGTCAACTATTCCGGCCGCAACGCGCTTCGGTGTCAGTGATCTCTCACCCACTTGCCCGCTCTTTTCCACTCACACGCGCGCGAACAACTATTATGAAATCAATGAAAAATAAAATAAAAGTTATTAAAAAATTATACTAAATATATTTCAAAATAAATCACAATTTTCCTTGTAAAATGTAATGTAATACTGTAAAGTACAAGAAAAGTTGAATTATACTATTGAGAAAAGTAATAACAAATTTTTTTATCAGATATCATAACATTACTAAATTGAACTAAAAACTGAATTTTTACTGAAATTTTAATGGAATAATAACGAAATGGAGTCAATTGAGAGAGAATTTCAAATACGTTTTAGTAAAATTTCATTAAATTTTAGTAAAATATTTCCATCAGAATAGTCGCATCTATGACTAATACTTCTGAAGTTTAACGTGTCTAATATGGTACACAGATACGGTACATACGATTATAACGGCGACAGTCTTTGGCAAGGAAAATCAACGTATGACCTGTCCACGTTGCAATGCTGATATAAGTACGCGTGTAGAATCGGCAGCGAACATGAAAACACATCTGCTCGCATTACTCCTCTGTTTAGGCGGGTAAGATTTTGAAATATAGAGTAAAAAAAAATTTTACCGGAAAAAGGTATGATTAAATCTGATGTTTTTTCGCAGATGTTGTTGTTGCGCACCGTTACCTTACTGCATGGATTCTTGTCTGGTCCACAAACATTACTGTCCAGCGTGCAGTTTCTTCCTTGGCGTATCCAAAAATTAATCAATTTTTGCACTAATTGCGATAAAAATATAAGAAAATACTGCAGAATTAGGGTAACTCCGGTATATATATGCCACAGCTAAGGAAAACTTAATTTATCGAGTACTATATTTATTATGTTTAAGGCAAATAAATTATACCAATAAAAACTTTATACTGTCTACTACTATAACATATATATAGAAATATGAAATATTCATTCTTTGTATTTAATAAAAAAAACTTTTAGAAACTCTTGCATTTTTGGGTGAAATATACGCTTTATAAAAAATTACAAATAATGTTTATAAATAAGGTAATAAAATGTCATAATAGGTTATGAAATGTGTGTAAGAAGTTTATTAAGATGTAAGAATGATGAACAAATTATAAAACTAAAAAATTTTTTAAATAAAATAGAAGAGCTATAAATGCATTAAAGATTATATTGTTATACAATCAAAAAAAAAAGGAAAAAGAACACATAGGAGATTTCAAGTTTTACAAAGTGTTTGTAGGTACTATAGCATAAATCCCGCATGCTAACTTGCCATATATCTTAAACAGGAGGGATATACAAGATATATTAAGTTAAACAAAAAATACAAGAGCTATGCACTTGTAGTTTGCTGTATTCCATCCTTTACTATCCCTCTACACTTATGTATCATGAAATATAATCATTAAACCTTTAACAATTCCCTACAGTAATCATTTTACGTAGGTCGTATCACATGCAAGATCGCGCTTCTTACTACGGTGAGAAATCGATTCAACTCACGACAGTTTCGTTAATATTAACAGTAAAAAACTTAAATTACAACACAATACTAATATGGCATAAAGGCACATAACAGAATAATTGCGAGCAAATACCTTCATTCCTTTTATTTTTTCTGATATCTGCGGCGCAAAACCCTGCGCGGCGTAAATACTGGAGTTACCCTATATTACGTACCATATCAATTATATCACATCCTCAGTCCTATTACTCGTGTCGGAGTGTGGTGGCTTCTCTTTATATACATGTGTTGCGCACGTGGATTATACACATTATATATGGGACCTACAGTTGAACGCCGATTCCAAACGGCTATAATTTTGTAGAAAAACGTTCTTGGCAAGACATACTCTCGGTGGTTTACCATTGCCTTCCAAGAGGAGAACGAGCGAATATAATTTTGGCTCTGCCGGGAATCCAACCCGGGACTTCGGTTCAATAGACCATTGCGCTGTCTACTATAGGCCACAGTAATAGTACATACATAATTTTTTAAACTTATGTATCCATGATTCTCTACTAATACAGGTTTAACATTTCCTTCAGTATCGTAACTATACCACGAACACAATATTCCTATTTCACGATTTGATTCATAATTAATAATTGCATATTCCTTGGAAAATTCTTTGCATTTTTTACTTTTACCTTGAAGGTAGGAAAAACTTAAAATCAAACCCAAGAGTATTACATTTTTTTCGGTCTGTCGAAACAAGCACCACTCTCCGACAGTTACATCATCACAAGTTTTACAAGATGGTGTTAATAGATTCGATCTTATGGTGCGTCTCCACCTGCGAATAAGAACTCTCGAGAGCAAAAAGAGAGAAAGAGAGAGAGAGACTCTCGAGAGTTCTTACTCGCAGGTGGACACGCACCATTAAAGTAGATTTTGATTTGAAGGAATATTCCTTTTCCATTACACGTTGTAAACAATCACTACTAAGGCGATTACAATTTTTATTAAGAAGCCAACAGATAGACGATTTTCTAACAACTATTTCTTTACCATGCGCATCTGTAACAATGGTAAATGGACTTGTTTTATTTAGTGCAAGGGTCGTTTCACCATAATTTTTTATGTTAAGATAATCATCAGATACGCATGATAAAGTGGACACATTCTCAAAGAATATCTTCTGCTGGAAATTCGTCATCTTCTTGTTCTATACTTCTAGAAATAGAAACTTCACTAGAAGCTGATGTAACTGTACTATTTTCTCTAGTGCCGTCTACATAGTCATTCAAATTATTATTTTTATTATCAGAGGAGTCGACTTCCGAGTCATCAACTCTTGTATCAATTACTAATGGTAAATTGCAATTTAATTTTCTCGGTTTTAGACCAAACTTGTGAGTATCAGTGATTGCTTTTTTTCTAGCTTCATCAATAGCTTCGTAAATATCGTCATTAGTTGGTAAACTAGACTGAATTTGTATTGTTTTTACTTTATGTTCCATTCTCAAGAAATTAATATTTTTATTTAATTTGCTCGCTAAGATATCGCTTTGTAATTGTATCTTCTTAATTCTATGTATGACATCAAGTAAACTACAATTTACAATAGTCGAGTAACTAGTAGACATAGATCTGATCTGATGAAAAAATGCTTCACAGGGCTGACTACTAAACAATGGCGGCATAAACAGATGTGGCATATTGCAATCTCTTATAACTTTTGTATCATATTTACCATACTATGTGCATTAATTTCAATACAGGCATAACAATTTAAACTTAAAAAGTTATCTGTTAAAGTATACATTCTATTATTTTTTATCCAGTTGCGCCAAATTCGTATTATAAACACAGAGTACCATAATTTAGAAAGCTTTTCCAAAGGTGTTAAATAAGGATCAGTGTATGACAGTATTATATAATTTAGTAATTTTAAATATAACACGGTACCCTCCGAATTAGAAATATGATTAAGTAATAATTTCCGAACATGTTCTTGTGATATTTTGTTAGCAGATTCAAAATTCATTTTGTCCTTAGGTTCAATATCGGACAAAGATAACAAATGCTTGTCCTTGGGGATACAATATTTATCAGTATTTTTAAATAACTTACAGAAATAAGTGTGTTTCCGAACGGTAGCAAAATAGAGGGTTTCAATAATCTGTTTCTAAGTTTTATAGCTATGTGTATGGTATCTTGTACAAAATAATTGTCAGTATATATAGCATTGAACCAAGGCCAATTTGAGGTAAATTTTGGATGTGCCGTATTGCATACCTGTGAAATTCCTAAACGTGTTTCTATGCGCATTGCTTTTAATAAACGAGGGTCTCCATCTGATGAAAATCCGAGTACAGTTATTCCAAATGCAGCTAGTTCTTTAAGAATAAATTTCCAGCGTTTAGTAATATTCTGTGAGGTAAACTTATTATCAGTACAAAATAATGACAGAAAAAATGGACCAGAATGTTCTGCAATGGGTTGTACTATAATGGTATAAACTAATGAGGCAGTCTTTCCTTCATTGAAATGACGTTCAATTTCCTTCGCTGATCTGGCCAGAAATGAATACGATACAGGCATTCCATGCTCATTAAGTGGTAAAACTAATCCTACTAACTGATTTGTTGAGGGATCATATTGAATTTTACCAGTTATTCTTGTAGCATCTTCCGAGATCCATACAATAGAAGGCAAGTTTCTTTCACGTAGGTAAGATTTCAATTGATCACAACGTAATTCTCCCTCAACTATTTTTTGTCTATTTTTTTGCAAATATCTACTTACAGACGTTAATGGAAGATTCTTATACAGTGTTTCGTATAGTAATTTCCCTCCAAGCATAAATATATATATATTGAAAATAACTTGAGTGTCTTACTGTATCTAAAACCGGTATTTGACTCTCGGTTTGACACGTTTAAATTCTTTTCAGCAGAATCAATTAATATTTGTAAAAAAAAAGTATTTTTTTATCATAATTTTCTCTAACATTTTCTCCCGAGTTTTCTTCTTGAATTAATAAAGCATTCTTTAAACATATTTCTAACTCTTTATTTTTTTGTAAAATTAAGTCAATGTCATTTAAAATTTAAAAAAATTGCGGTATTCGAGTTTGGTTTTTTGCAATAGATCTATAACGTAATCTCTGTGCCTTGTAGAATCGAGATCTTTTGTCCTTGCGTTTTATAATTTTGTCTTTCAAGTTATTGGCGCGCGATGGTGAGGGTGTTTTTCTGAAGCAATATGCGCCTCGATTACTCCAAGAAGTTATTCCCCCGAACTCCGTTTCAGAGATGTTCACCGGTTCATCGTCTTCAAGCTGATTTTGCGAGTGATTTTGTGGAGAGAATTGCAATAAAAAGTTCTCAAGAGGCATTTGCTTTGTCTTCTCAGTAGGATTGTTACTGATGTGTATCGGTGTATCACGAGGATTACCCGCATTGGAAAAATGAGATTTGAAGTGCCTCTCAAATTTGATTTTACCCATCTCATTTTTCCTTGTTTCCCATATTCGAGTTTATGGGCTTTTGTCTTTTTCTGACATATAGGGCAAATAATATTAGCCCCGACTTTAGCAACATAGTCAGAGCTCTCTGAATCATCCTTTATTCCTTCTTCAATGATGGTTATTTCTATAGAAGCAGACGAAAATTTTTCAACAACTTGCTTCTCGACTTCTTTACTTACCTGTAAATAATAAATAATTTTAGGAAATTGAATTTAACATTATTTTAATTTAGATTATTATTACGTAGTTACATGGAGAAAACACTAGTGATATCACTTGGCTAATGTAGCAACACCAATTATTAATACAATATTTATTTAACGTTAATTCACATAACTTTGTTTTCTAATCGTAGAGAGTACGAATGTAACAACCAAGGTAACAACCATAGCTGTTTTCTCCGTGTACTTACATAAAAATTAGATATTTGTATTAAATTATATACTTACTTTACTTTGTTTCTTTAACCATACCATTATTAAGGCATAAAGACTGTCATGCTCAGCGTTCAAATTGATATCAGTGGAAGTGTCAGGATTTGATCTACTGTTGGCATGCTGCGAAGAGCTTGGTAAGGAGCCTTCATCAAGGTCTTCATTTGAAAGTTTACTTGCCACTCGACTTGCATAGACTTTTTGCTTCTGATTAAAATTTTCTGTTAATTTTCGGGGTTGACAATTGGATTTTTTAAGCCTTAACTCAGGCATAAAATACATTCTATCCGTGGAGAGTTTGTTAGCAACGAATTTCTGTATTTCATCGAGTAGTGCCTTATGTCCGGTTGGAATGCGGAACTCACTAGGACAAATATGATATTTGTTGAAATAGTCGCTGTACTTTTCACCCTCTTTTATGAACTTGAGCATTTCTGTTCTACCAAACAATTCCAGCTCTTTAGTAGTATCTGCCGACATTTTCTCTATAGCAATGGGTGTGTCATATCCTTTAAGACGCATGATATTTTTTAAGTATACAGGAATATTCAGCCCCATTCCTTTCTTTATAATGTGCCACATTACGTCTGTAGCTGTTTGATCCTCTTCCTGAGTCTCTGTCTGAGTTCCAATAACACTAAAGTAGATTTTGTTACTTAGGTATCACCGCGTCGTACTTGTTGCCAAGCTGGCTACCGTCTTCTCGGTCATTCTTGTCGTCCATCATACCCTGAGTAGAAAACACTCGAGAAAATAACTATATTAGAATCCAGCAACGTTAAGAGATTCTACACGCACGCTTTTGACACGCAGCCATCTCATTCCGTGGTTAACCTAACCTAACTTTACTGGGGAGGGCGCTTGCGAGAGCGATTGATAATCGATCGTAATCAATAGAACACGTCACGATGCGACACGGTTTCAACACTGTATACGAGATTTGATATGATATTATCAAATTTCACTGAGGATTTCATGGTGATTTCATATGGTGATTCTACATGATTTCCAGTGATAACATGGAGATTCAAAATGATTTCTGCTGATTTCATATATGATTTCTAGTGATTTTATATTTCTGATGGTGATTTCATATGATTTCTGATGATTTCATATGATTTCTAATGATTTTATATGATTTCATAATGATTTCGGGGACATTGTCCCACGATTTCATTTAGTGGTTACCCCCTCGTGTTTAACGTAGGTACATCCCAGACAGCACACATGGTCAAAAGCGGGACATAAGACGTCTAAAAGACATCCTTTGGACATCTTTCAGACGTCTTACAAAAAAATGACTAAAAGACGTCTTTATTACGTCCCGATTTTAGACATTGTGCTGTCTGGGATATTATAAAAATTTGAATCAAATATTTAACATTTGCGTTTGATACAATTTTTATAATTATTCACATTATACAGCCAATATATGATATATCCGTCGAGAAATACAAATTTACCATTACAATGTTTCATATCCAAATAGTTAGTCATTAATGAAAATATTATTATATTCGAATTAACGGATAAAAATTATCAGATGTATTTGAGTCTAGACATTTAATTGCTTCTAAATGTCCGAATAATAAGATACTTAAAACGGTAGCTTTAGCCTCCAACTTTTTTATACATGAGTCACTGAAGAGGGCCCGATTTGAAGACCAAAACGTTTGAATTTTAATGTTTTAATGTGTTGACTAATTGTAAGATAAATATAATTTTCCGCATATTTGATCTTGCATCGGCTCTCATAGCCCATTATTTCTTAACTGGTAATATTAAGGAATAAAAAACATCAAATAATTGTTTTAATAATTAGAATATTTCGTTCAATAATATTCAATTAAATTAACTATTTATGTTTTTGACAGCCCGTGACGTCGACGTTTAATTGAAGCAACTTAATTTTTTTTCTGTTACTACGTTTACGCGAGTGTTACTTTTGTAGTAACTTACAATAATTCACTCGTTTACGCGGAGTAAATTATCGTAAGTTACTACAGAAGTAACGCTTGCGTAAACGTAGTATGTGTGAGAGATCGGTTTCGAATCTATAAGAAACGAGTGGATAAAAAAGTTTGATCTCAATTATGACAAACACAGGTTTGCTAGTCTCCGAAGTTAACGGAGTACTTTGCGTTATTTCAATGTCCAACTGAATCGACTGTTCAAAAATAGATTAAAGAAACCTTCTTAATTATGACGATTTTTTTTTAAAGAAAGCGTTATATACAATGAATGTTGCAATTATTAAATAAACGTGATATTCTTTTAAATATTACATCGTAGCAACTTTTTTCTATTCTCGTCCTTTTAAATTTTTACTCTAAGGTTCTATAAAGAAGATATCCTTTTCCAAGTCAATCTTCTCGGCCACGCTTAACGCGTCATGGTATACAATTGCGCGACTACGCGAGTGCTTTTTACTATAAAAGATTTGATTAAAATTTAGAGAGGATGTATCTCTAAGCTTTAATATCAATATGATTATTTATCATGTATTAAAATGTTCGCCGGAAGTTCGCTCTTACTTCCCGGGGAAACGAATTCTGATAAGCACGACGTAACACTGATAAAGCTGACATTTGGCCGATTCTCCTTTCTGTTGTCTATCGCTGCTCTTTTTCGTGTTCACCATAAATTGAAACGGCCAATATTTATATCTTTGGATGTAATTTTGATATTTAACACGAATCGTTCGGTCTTTATATTCAAGAGATTCCAGTGAATATGTTATATACTTGACAAAATGCTTCCTCATTGCCTCGCTTCCCACATCGCGCAACATGCTGCGATTCATAAAGTTCCACTCGATCCTAGCACACTCGTCCTGGCAAACTTTCTTTTGCAATTTACACATTAAGTACTCCGTTCGGTCAAATTGCGAAACGCCGCGCTCATTTTAGATAGCCCACCTGTATATGTCGAATTCTGCATCAAGCGTATTTCTCACACGTGCATAATCGTGGCCGAGTTTCCATTTAGAAATTCGGGCGCGACTTGATAATTTTGATAGTGCTCTTATAATCTATGTTGGTGAAGATCGAGCGTGGAAATCTCGTTTTTTTCCGCATCCCGATGAAGATCTCGCTCGATACTATACTCGCAAAAAGAGGCATATTCCTCTTTTATTTGTAACGCCCGTTGTATATCCGGCCGTTACCCCCTCTTACCTAGGCATTGGGGAAAATGCCAGTTTTGCAGGGATAAACATATAACCAAATTGTAACTTTTTAATGATAATTTTTAGGGTGGCTATAGTTATGTGGAAGCTTAAATATTATTTTGCAAAAATCCCGAAGCGATTATGACGTTGGATTATTCATATTTCTATACTACAGCATTTCTTAACTATGGCATCTTCCTTCAACTTACCTTATATGTAATTCTCTTTAACTTATTCAATATTCAATTCCTACATTATGTATTTACACTTATTGTTAGAAAAAATTTTTTGGATTCTGGAGTATATGATATAATTTTCACTAAAGAATTCCTGACGTAAAACATTATCGAGATAAGAAAAAATTGAAAAACTCTAGCAACTATATGTCATTTCTAATATTTTACAAGATATCTATATCTGATATTACTTTCTGAATTATTCTCAGCCTAGTTCATAATCTAATTGAACAATATCTCTGGAAACAAAAAGTATCAAAAATACGCATTATTCATTGTTTATTCTTTTAAAGATTCCAAGATCCCTAAATACATATATAAATTTACTTGCCTCTTATTAAGGATGTATGTGTGACATCTCAAAGCATTACCAAAAATCTAAAAATTTCATAGATTGTTCTATTATTATGTCTAAGTATCTGTGTAAAATTTCAGCAAAATTCTCTTACTAGTTTAAAAGTTATTGTAATTAAAGATGTATTGGAGGTACTTCAAATATATTCAGAAAGTGCTGTAAATTGTTTCTAAATTAAATTAAAAATACTTTGTAACATTTTGAAGTTACTTAAGAGTTATGTATGGAGCTCACGTGTATATAGTTGCTGCGTGTACATATTAGTCGCTAAGTTGATTGTTTGATGTTCACGTTACCTATTACAATAGTTGATAAGTTGCGTCTCGTATCATTAGTTAAACATTGTTGAATCGTTGCCGTTGGCAACTTAAAATTCGCGTTTAGTGAGTTGCGCGGAACGTTGGCGGATCGCGATCGTTAGCATGGCAATATTTCGCGCGGCTCACCCGACTCGTGCTGCCCGCCCGCGGGTGGCCCGCCCAATTATTGGATCTTGGTACTCGCTCGCGCTGCAATTCGCAGGTGCGTGAGCCGAGGAGTACCGGAGCAGACATTCGCTGTTCGAACGTGAACTGGTCAATACACACATTTTTTGGAGCACGAGGAGTCGACTCCCTTCAAGCTCGTGCCTTGCTTGCGTGTTTCTCTACTGCACCGCTCGCCTGCCTATCTCGGGCCTTGCCTGCTTTCCTTGCACTGCTTGCTTGTCTATCGTGCCTTGCCTGCTTGCTTGCCTGTTCGCCTTCTCGCTTACAACGGAGGACTTGCCAGAAGGAAGGACGAAGGAGAGAGAGATAGAGAGATACGAGAGAACACCATCCGAGAGGGCAACGGGCAACGAACGGTGAGTCGCTTGGTTTCGCATTGTTTTCGCTTATTATTACGTTTAATTTCGCGATGGAACGGTCCTTCTGGTCCTTCGAAAACCAGCATGTAGACCAATTCGCGAATCCGGGGACGGTCTTACACCCCCCTCCCCCCCCCCGAGCATTGGTCCTTTGAACCGGATTATTCTTTCTCACGTTAGAAAACTCCGCCGACCTTTCGCGCGATTCGCTTAAACATCGCCTAATTATTATTCGTCTCGTCGTCTCGATTAATCGGCGCGTGCAATTTCGCTTGCGCGCGTGCCATTGTTCGACCACTTTCGCCATCGTATCGAGTGATCGGCGCGTGCACGCTCATCCCGCGTGATCGCTCTCGTCCTTCGTCGCACTCGGCACGTCGTGACGAAGAGATCCGCGTAATTGTATTTTTCATTTTTCTTTGCTTGCGCGCGTGCCATTATCTCAATCCATAAATCTATCTCGTTAATCGCTGCAAATTCGTTGCAGATATATTGTATCGAATAATCGGCACGTGCGCGTGCACCCGGCGTGATATCTCTCGTCCTTCGTCGCACTTGGCACGTCGCGACGAAGATATCCGCGTAATTGTCGTTTTGCTTGCGTGCGCGCCATCATCTCGAGCCCCCTTGCTAATCGCTGCATAATCGTTGCAGCACTTATTAATTCGGAATAAGCGGCGCGTGCACGCTTCGCCCCGCGTGATCTCTCTCGTTCATTCGTCGCATCGGCACGTCGAGACAGAGACATCCGCTGATAATCGTAGATTTGTTGGCTCGCGCGCCATTATTCTAAAATTCTGCATAATCGTTGCAGACTTCGTCGTGAAAATTAACATTGCTAAAGGCGATCGAATATTCGAGTACATTCCATCGATTGTTTGTTCGAACTCGAGTCGTCCGTCCCCCTTTCGGCCTTGGCGAGCGGCGCGGTGCTTTCGCCCGAGCTTTCGCCCATTGTTTCGACCAAAACGGTCTCCGCATTCCGAAGCGAGACAACTTCGTACGTTGTTATTGCTGGCTGCCTTCGCCTTCATTAGCTATCTCTGTAAATATCATACTCCGACTTTCATCGGGCTTCAAGATGAATAAGGGCTGTAAGTCGCGGCGCGAACTGTGCGTTCGGCGTATGCGAGAAATACATCAATATTCGATGCTCGCGGTAGACAACGTGGCTATGAGACCGACCTTTCTTGTTCATTATCCGACGGTTGCCCAATTAGTTCAGGATTTGGAGGAGGCTCACCTCTAAGGCCGGTATTCATAATCAGATCTTATTTCAAGACCGACTTAAGTAATATCTTAAGATGCTAATACGGCTCTGTGATTGGTTAATGACATCTTAAAATTGTACTTAAGATGGTCTTAAATATAAGAACCGACTATGAATACCGGCCTAAGTAATACAAGATGCTACTGATGAAGAATTCGCCATCGAAGACGCAATACGTGACGAGTTTGACCAAATGCATTTTGCCGTGATAGGGCGGTATGAAAGCTTCGGTCCCGCGCGGGGACCGACGCATTCTCGCGGGGTTAGGGATCCTTTAATGAGGGATAAGACACCGAGGGTGCAGGATGCGGATTGGTCGTCCGCCATTAATGGGATACTTCCGCTTTGAGTATATTAAGAGTATATAAAGATAGTGTACAGCTAATGTACAGTATATGTCACTAATGGCCGTAGAAGAAAGTGATCAAAACAGGCCGTATTGTCCTCTAAAACGAGGCAGGAAGAAATGTAAGAAATATTATAACTGATAAAGTGAGGAAAAAATAAAAGTGTAAGTATTGTACTTAATAAATTCATTTTTATTACAATTGAATGTGATTTTATATTATCATTTAACACTGAAATGGGAATACATAACCTCAACTATAAATCATCAAATTAACTAATATTGATAAATATAAATTATTTAGAAAATGCGATATTGCAAAGCAGTTAATTGTGGCAATTCAAGTAAAAAAGGCTTCAAAATGTGCCATTTCCCTACCTCTCCGAACCGAAGAGCAAAATGGATAAAAAATGTGGGGCGTGATAACTGATTTCCTAAAAAGTATTCAACATTATGTG